AAGGGTTACATTTTAGACACTTTTAGTTTGTTCTACTATCGTCCCATTTAGCAATCCGTTCGTTCAAGCAATGTATTAACAAAAATGCTACGAGATTAGGACAAAGCAGCCTGTCTTAATACTATTTGATAGTTAAAATTACGACCGGAAGAAAATGATAGTCCTAAGAGCTATTGTAAAGATGCTATGGATCGTGTTCTGTTCAAGGATTCAGTTCACACATTCCTTGTTTCAAAAGTTCCGCAAAAATGACGTGGCCACTCATTCACAAGGCCACCCTTTAAGCCCCTTAAAAGCAGGACGGCTCAACTGAACACAAAATCCTAAGAAATCAAACATAACTAAGGCTCGCTTCCTAACCTGCTTCTTTCCCATTCCGTCTAAAACCCTGCTTGCCCACGGCGCTCAGCTTCCAGGCGCACGGAACTCACAGCCCGCCCCGTCCTCGCTCCCGCCGGGGCCGGCCACGCGCAGGCGCCGTGCGTCATTGGTCTGCGCAGCCGTGGCGGCTGCGGCGCTCAGCCCCTTCTCTGCAAGGTGGGGGCGAGGATGAGCGCGGGGAGCTGGTCCGGCCTTTTCAATACAGCCTTGCGGAAAAGGGGACCTCGGAGTGGGGGTTGACGTGCCAAGGAAAGAGACTCCAGCGGGTGTGGGACAGCAATCACGGTTGCACCCATGGTTTCCCAAGTGCTTGCACTTCCCAAGTGATTTCTTCGAGGAAGGTGGGAAAAGACCTTGATTAAGTCTCCGCTAGGATGTCTTTCCTAGGCGGATAAATACCCCCCGGAAAGAATCTACAGGAAAGACCTCGCTGGCAGTCCGGGAACACGCAGAAGCCGGGAAGGCACCGAAGAGAGGCGTTGTCATAGCAACATGGGCACTCAGGCACTCGGAAACTTCACGCCCCGCTTCTCCCCTGGCTCCAGGAGTTCGGGTCCCGGGGTCGGGACAAACTTCTATCGCCCACTCCCGTCTAATCCTGTGAGCACCAAATGGGTGGACGCGCACACATCACCCATCACCGGCAGGGCTCTCCCTTTGCGATCCCCAGCTCTAGGCATGGCCCCGCCTCAGGGCCAGCTGAGGCGTTAGGACAACACCCTCCACCTCCGCCGCCTCCGTGGCCAAAGCGCCGCTCACCGGGTCGGCCTCGAGGCGAAGCCCTGAGTCCGTCCTCATGGCGCTCTCCCCGCCTGGCTTTCTCAACGCAACCGCCGGTGGCCCGAGCCTGGCTCCCGCGACCGTGCTTCCGGGACCTGCGACAGGCGGGGGCTTCGTGGTGTCGGCTTAGGCCGCAGTTCTGGGGGCCAGATCTCCGCTGGTCTTAGCTGTGTCAAGCCCCGCCCACCAAGGTGTCAAGCCCCGCCCACCAAGGCGTCAGAGTTAGGGAGGGGCGCGCTTAGCCCGGTTGTAAGCCTGATGGAAACGCTGGTCAAGCAGTGAAGAAACGAATCAAGAAGGCAGTCAAGGGCTGTGAGCAGAAAATATATACCGCTAACACCAAAACACGCTATTGGTACCGAGAACTGATAATCAGCAAGGCCAAGATTGCCTAAAAGAGCCAGGAACTGATCATCACTAGAACCAGAAGTCTGGAAGGGCTAAAGACTGATCTCTGAACATAATAGAGACCATTCCGCTGCTTGAACATAATGTGCAGATAGCAACCAGAGCTGACCTGGACCGGACTGAGTTGTCATCTCAACTAGGCACTCATTGACTGACTTGGCATTTGAGTCCATAACTTCTTACCCTTGTATCTTGTTTATTGTGTGACTTTGCATTGTATCTTGTGTCGCATATGTGAAGTCAAATTAAACAGATAGTGAAATGTCATTCAGTTTGGAATCCTGTCCCTGTTAAAAGTGTGTAAATCCTGCTTTATGAATGAACAATGCTGACATTGTGGAAAGACACAACTCGTCACAACACCTTTGTAAGATGCTGGAGACATTCCCCGCCCCCACACAAGCCCAGTGTTTCAGGGTAGCTATGTATTGATACAAACTAGTATCAGATTTTTTCCAGGTGTGTATGTGTGTCTGTCTGTTGATACAGGCAGTCTCAAATTTTCGCCAGTTGTTTATCCTTCATCTCTCTAAATCAAGTTTAGGAAAACTTTATCTCGAAAAAAAAAGATCAAATCTGAGATCACCTAAGTATCATTAAAAATGACTTAATTTTGGGGTGCCTGGGTGGCTCAGTCGGTTGCACAGCCGACTTCGGCTCAGGTCATGATCTCATGGTTCATGGGTTCAAGCCCCGCATCAGGCTCTGTGCTGATAGCTAGCTCAGAGCCTGGAGCCTGTTTCAGATTCTGTGTCTCCCTCTCTCTCTGACTCTCCCCTGCTCATGCTGTCTCTCTCTCTCTCAGGAATAAATAAAACATTAAAAATTTTTTGAAAAATGACTTAATTTTCTTTGGTTGGGGTTTTTTGGGGGATTAATTTTTTTCTTTGGTTGTTTTTTTTCTTTTTAAGATAATCACTTAAAAAGAACTACAAATATCTTGAAGTACGCACTTGGTTTCTTTTATAGTTAAGACAGAGATTGGAGGGGTAGAGGGATGGTGTGGGAATAGGAAATGTTAGAGAATGATGCAGAAGATAAACAGATACAGGGGCAGCAAGAATGACTGCAAGTCTCAAGATCTAGGGAAGAAAGAAAAATAAGACTTCATGGAATAGAATCCTCACCTTGTGGTTTTCTCAGATACGAGTCTCTAGGACTAAAGTCAATTGCCCTTTCCTAGTTTAGGCATAATGTGAGTATTAGCTTTTGGGCAAATTAATGATTGTTACAGCTCTGATCAGAAGAATAATTTTTTTCCTTGTAGACTGATGTGTAAATAATAAGGGCAGTGTCATTTCTGTAGTTTTTCATGTTAGATATGAAATGTATACATTAATCCTTCTTTCTTGCTAAGTCAAGTAAAAGCCATTTCCATAAAACAGAAGTTTCACGAGGCAAAATCCATTTTCTGAAATTAAGTACTACTTATTTTATTTAGGGAAGCTCTTTTATCTGAATTGTACAAAAGCCATATGAAATCTATAAAAGGTTCTCATACTCGCTAGCTTAACATTGTTTGTACTTCTATTGCTGCATAGGAGGTAAAGGAAAACATTTTTTTCCCTAAAAGCCAAGGAGGTAACTCTATATATATACAATGCAAATTTTCTCAAATACGACTAATTAATAAACTCTGCCACTTTTAAAGTTACACCCATTATAATGGAGCAAATCCTGCTCTTTTAGATTGCAGCTGTTATTCCAGAACTCTGTAACAGATGAATATTATTAAAACTCCAGGATTAAGAAGGAGGCCTCGTTATGACTCAGTATTAGAGGAAACCCATGTTGCTGGTACCCACTGAGGCTCCTCCTGAGCCTTCTGAACTGCAGTCAACAACTGGGCACATGCATCTTGCAAGTTGTCATTCACAATCACGTGATCAAAAAACTGGCCAAACTGTGTCTCCATTTTTTGGGCTAAATCCTCCATCTCTTGTAGATCTTCATCCTTTAGGAGAAATAGAAAAATATGGATAGCACAGAATTAAGAAGATAAATAGAAATAATACAGTTTGTTTTGCTGTTATATTCAGTTGTGAAACTATTTATAAAAACAGTTAGGTCAAATAAGTGTCCTCTATTCTAAACCACAATTTATGTTTTTATCTTTAGTCCTACTTAATGTTTCCCTGGTCAAGGCTGTGCAAAACTAAGTAACAGTTGGTAGCCAGAACAACCCCCTCAAGTTCCTATTTGGACTTCAATTATATTATTTTATTATCTAAACACTTGAAGCTTTCAAACCATATACAACAAGAAGGAGGAGGAGGAGAAAAGAAAGAAAGAAAGAAAGAAAGAAAGAAAGAAAGAAAGAAAGAAAGAAAGAAAGAAAGAAAGAAAGAAAGAGAAATTTGCCAGTTAAATATTTTTTAAAAACTTATCCATAAATTTCAAATGACGTCTTAGAAGGTAAAATACAATTTCTGAAACTAAATACTGATAAGAATGACATCATTCTGCTACTTCCAACATGAAGATGGTATGACCTGGTTCTACTGAATTAGACATACTCTAATTGTCCTTTGCCTCATGATGCCATGACTTTATTCACTTTCAATATTGTCGATTTCCACTGTTGTGAAATGTTCATTTAGCAAGGGTCATTTGGCTTTCTTTGGCACTAAATGCACTAAATTCATTGCTGTTATTTTCTTATTTGTCCATAACAATTAAAGCAGTACAGCTTTTTGCCAGTGCAATTATAAACTCAAATACAGGGGAGCTTGGGTGGCTCAATCTGTTAAGCATCTGATTCTTGGTTTTGGCTCAGCCATGATCTCACGGTTTGTGAGCTCCAGCCCCAGGTCAGGCTCTGCACAGAACCTGCTTCGGATTCTCTCTCTCCCGCTCTCTCTTTGCCCCTCTCCTGCTTACGCTTTGAGAGATCTGTCTCTCAAAGTAAATAAACAAACTTTTTTTAAAAATATAAAAAATAAACACAAATACAAATGCAGGCACCGCAATGTTGTGACAGTACTCCTTTACAAGATGTTCATACTCATGACCCAAAAATAATTCTGTTAATTTGTTTAGCTTGCCATAAAAATGAGAACACAATTTAAAAAAAATTTTTAATGTTTTTATTTTTGAGAGAGAGAGCAGGAGTGGGGGAGGAGCACAGAGAGAGGAGACACACAATTTGAAGCTGGCTCCAGGCTCTGAGCTGTCAGCACAGAGCCCGATGCAGGGCTCGAACTCATGGACCACGAGATCATGACCTGAGCTGAAGTTAGAGACTTAACAAACTTAGCCACCCAAGAACAGGTGCCCTGAGAACACAATTTTAAATGCCTATGAGATTCAGAGAATTTATCCATGGACTCCACTGTCTGGAATACAAACTGAAGAATCAGATTTTCATACAGTAGTCACTTAAAAAAATATGAAGACAGAAATAATAACAAAGGATTATATAAATATGCCTCTTGTTCACTTCAGAAACACATATATTAAATGTGAAACAATACAGATAAACATGCCCCCAATGCAAGGAAGACATGCAAATTCATGACATATTCTTTATGTTTCATTTCAGGGGTTGTTTTGAAATTTTTTAATTAAAAAAATTTTAATGTTTATTTACCTTTAAGAGAGAAACAGAATGCAAGTGGAGGAGGGGCAGAGAGAGAGGGAGACACAGAATCTGAAGCAGGCTCTAGGCTCCAAGCTGTCAGCACCAGGTCCGAGTCTGTCACGGGACTCAAACCCATGAACAGTGAGATTATGACCTGAGCCAAAGTAGGATGCTTAACCAACCAGGCACCCCTAATTTCAGTTTTGTAAAATGTAAAAGTTCTAGAGATCTGTTGCACAATGTGAATATACTTAGCACTATTAAACTGTACAGTTAAACATGGTTAAGATGTTATGTTTTGTGTTTTATGTTATGTGTTTTCTACCATATACACAAAAAAATAAGTGGATGTAATATATTATCTAGGTGGTAATTATCTGGGTGTATGTAAAAAATTTCCATTGAGCTGTTATACATAAGATTTATACACCTTGCTGAATGTCTATATGACTTAAAATAGTTAAGGTAGATTTGATGAAAAAATTAAAACTGGAAAAAATTATTCTAGGAAGAGTTCACTGATTAATCCCACCTGTCTTGGCCCCTCTATTATCTCCACCATCATTAATACATACTGTTTGCATTTAGAAATATATTTTATATAGATAATTCATATTACACATAAGATATATTCACTACTGCATTTTTAAAGTAAATTCTCAAACTCTTTCATAAGAAATAAAATATGAACATCAGGATTGTGCACACCCAATTTCCATGTGGCTTTGCAGACGATGGCTTGAGGTCTTTTTTTTGTTAAGCTAGCCTAGAAAAACAATAAGAGTAGTATCATAGCATTTATTAAACACTATTTTAGTATCTACAAATGATATCCAGTAAAAAGGATAAATCATAAGGATACTATTAATTAGAAACAAAAATCACATTCCTTAACATTGGGATGTTGTGAAAGTAATACAGTGATTTTTTTTTACTAGGAAAAAAAAATACATCCATTTATTTCCTCTGTATCTTACCTTGAACTTCACGTCCACAAAGTAGTCTGTAATGATCTTGGCATTTTTCCGAGATTGCTTCATACAACTCATGTTAGATGGCTTTATAAATATGACATAGGGCTTTAGTTCATGGGTTCGAGCTATTTGAATACCCTACACAGGAAAAATTAGGTGCACATTTAAAAACAGAAATTTCAATTTCCTAGAGTCAACATGAATGTTCTCAAAATTTCTATGACCAGAAATTAGCAATTATTTTTATTTTTTTATTTTTAAAAAAGAATTTTTTTTAATGTTTATTTAGTTTTGAGAGAGACAGAGAGACAGCGTGAGCAGGGAAGGGTCAGAGAGAGGGAGACACAGAATCCAAAGCCGGCTCCAGGCTCTGAGCTAGCTGTCAGCACAGAGCCCAATGCGGGGCTCGAACCCACGAACTGTGAGATCATGACCTGAGCTGAAGTCGGCTGCTTAACCAACTGAGCCACCCAGGCACCCCTGCAATTATTTTTAGCCAATTTATTTTTATTTACTCTCCTTTGCCCCTAAGTCCTCAACTCTAAAAAAATAAACATTTTAATAATTAAGAGATGGGGTTCTAGAATTAAAATTAAGTTTAAATTGAGGCTCTTCCTTTCACTAGTCATGACATTCTTATGAAATCTGAGAATAGGTTCCTATAAATAATCTCATGGGACAGAGGCAAAGACAAACTCTGAAGGTGGATCAGTTCCGTTTCACCCTCACTTCCCCCTTCCTCTTGGCTATTATCTTATATTAGATACTACTGACATCTTCACACTGACCACCAGCCTTGACCCAAGTAAGAGCAATTGTCTTATCCCTTGATTCTCTTTAGAACACGTGGTATATTTAAAAGAAGTCCAAAAAATCCCACAAAATACAAAGATAAAAAAAAATGGAGCCTACACATTATGTGTTCTTTATCATAACTTGCTCACTCCTGTCTCACTCCACATATGGTCTCATGGAGGTAGCTACAGCTATGACAACATGGGAACCTCACCTCCTTGTATAAAGCAAAATCTTATTCCCTCCACAAATCCTTTGATCAAGGTCAAAGCAGGATTCTAACTTTTCTTTTTTTTTTTTTTTTTAATTTTTTTTTTTTTTATTTCTAGGAGAGAGAGAGAGAGACAGCGTGAGCAGGGGAGGGTCAGAGAGAGAGGGAGTCATAGACTGAAACAGGCTCCAGGCTCTTAGCTGGCAGTCAGCACAGAGCCCGACGCGGCGCTCGAACCCACGAACCGCGAGATCATGACCTAAGCGAAAGTCGGACGCTTAACCGACTAAGCCCCCCAGGCGCCCCTCTAACTTTTCTTTATAGCCACCAGCTCGGTTCTCTTTTTGTATCTGAGAAGCAAGACTTGTTTCCTAACAAAAGACAAGATATTGGCAACTGTTGCCTTACATAAGATCCTGGCCCTTAGAAATGGTAAGTGGTTTTATCCCTAAAAGGCTAAAAGAATAAAATGTCTCAACTACAACCTACAGCAATATGCACAAAAACCATGACATTCATTCATTACTTTGGGAAGGTACGAAATATTCTACCATAGACCTACCTGAGGCTCTAAGTCCATGACACAGATCTTTCCTTCATCAAGGACTGCTTGAACAGCATCCACACTGGTGCCATACAGGTGGCCTTTGTACTCACCATACTCGAGCATCCTACAAGGGTGCCACAAGGAAAACAAGAACTCTTTCTACAGGTAAAATATTATTATAGTAACAGGAAGATAAACCAATGAAATAGAACATAAATACGTGGACTTTGGTAGCACAAGAAGAATTATCAATAGGAGAAAATCATTAGGAGAAAAAAATATTAGGAGGTCTAGGATTTAACTATTTCTCCAAAGTCTCTAAGATTTGTAACTCAGTTCTGCTCCCTCTCCAAACCCAATGAGTTAGTGTACTAATTGATCAATTTACATTTCCTTGCTTAACTCTTCAGAAACAAAAGGAATTGCCCCAGAAGTTTTGGATAATGCATAAAAATAAGGCATGTATTTTGAAGGTAAAATAACCAAAGGTGAGAATCAGATTCTGAATGTCTAGCCTACCTGTGACTATACATGAGGCTTTCAAATGTTTCCTTCGACACATAGTGATACTCACGTCCATCCATTTCATAACTCTTTTTGGAACGAGTAGTATCTATCAAAAAATGGAATTTAAAAAAATGTTTTAGAACCTTCAAAATGTTTTGATTTATTACCAATATACATTTGGATAAAGATATCTAATCAAAATAAATAAATGAATACATAAACGTAAATAAAATGCTAGTACCAAAAAGAGGGAGCCTAAACTGGTGATAAGAAAGTAGAAGTTCTCATATCAAAATCAGTTCATCTATAAACCTTTATTAAGTACTTGCAGTATGGACATGAATGTATTAGGTATTGAGCTAGGATGGGGAGGTCCTAAGGGATAGCCGCTCTTACTAAAAGACAGGCATGAGTGAATTGTGTGTGAGCCCTAAGATGCCTAAAGGCCCCCAGGTAGCATATCTTATGTTTAGATAGTGCGTTTCTCAAGATCTCATTTCATTCTTCACACTGCTAGCTTGATGAAACATTATTTTGTAACCATAGTTCACTGATAAGTAACTGAAGATTTTAGAGAGTAACACCTTGCTTGTGTACACAAGACTTGAGGAAAAGCAAAGTTGAAAACAAGGACCTATAGGTGTTCTGACTCCTCCTAGACTAATATCTTCTGCTACATCAGATTGTCTTTGATTTGAAGAGAAAGCCCATGACAGTCTGTCTGCAGTCTTGCCCAAATGCATTGGTAGCCAAGTGAGATGGTGATTAGCTTTAGGGATCTCCAGAAGGGAAAGCCTGGTAGAGTCTGGATTCAGTCCTATTTTTTTATTATATATTATTCAACTTAAATAGTACTTGGTATAGAACGCAGGAGCTCATTGAACAACTGAAAGTGATTCATTTTCTGTTCGTCTATTTATTCCACTAACATGTACTGAGTGCCTCTGCTCCGGATATATTAGGTTCCTAGAGTACGAAGATGAATAAACCACAGTTCCAACTCTGTGTCCTATATACACTGCAAAGCTTCTAGTCCCTTAGTCTGCATTACCACAAATTCTCCCTGTTCCTAAAAAAAAAAAAAAAAAAAAAAAAAAAAAAAAAGACATATTTGCATTTGCACTTGACAAAGTTTAAGAATGAAATATAGGAACAGTTGATAATATCAACTTATGGAAATAACAAAGCAGGAATGTGACATAGNACAAAAAAAAAAAAAAAAAAAAAAAAAAAAAAAAATGGCATATTTGCATTTGCACTTGACAAAGTTTAAGAATGAAATATAGGAACAGTTGATAATATCAACTTATGGAAATAACAAAGCAGGAATGTGACATAGGCCCTAAATGATAAAAGGAGTTAGAATATTCAAGAGGCTTGAAAAGCAAATGTCACCAGAGGGTCTTTTGTTTTATTTATTCAAACCTCTCTGCAGATCCTTACAATTCCTACAGTTAGGCCATCTCTCTTATAGCTTTGTACTGAAAAAAAAATTCTAGTAAGACACTATAGCTCTCAGGTTATAATAAATTATATACATATAAACCTAAGTTTACTCCTTCTCTGTGGCTTCTATAGGACTATATTTTACATGGTAGGTTAAAATCTATGAACTGGTGCATAACTAGAAGTATTCATTTTGAGCCTAAAACTATTCATTCAATTTAAAAAGCAAAATATGGGCAACTTTTCTCATTTGAATGATGACTAGCTATACTGCTTGCAATTCTTCTATGTTCTGTGGGCATTTTATTGTCATCCATATTATTGAAAATGATGATATCTTCTGTAGTTTTTGTTTTAATTTAAGTCAGTTAACATACAGTATAGTCTTAGCTTCAGGAGTAGAACTCAGTGATTCATCTCTTACATATGACACCCAGTGCTTACCCCAAAAAAGCGCGCTCCTTAATGCCCAT